CCGGTTGCACCTTGGTGAACCGAACATCTTCGTATAAAAGACAGGAAAAGAAAAGACAAATAAAGGAAACTTTATTCACTTGGGAAAACGTACAATGACATCTCAGTAAAGACTGGCATTTTTTCTTCTATAGAAAGAACAAAACATCGACGTTTCATCTAACTGAACTAGTGCGTGGATTTTATCGACATGAATGTTTCGTTATACAATTAAGAATATAACGGTAATGGATGAGTAGTTATTGTTCATCATTTGACACTTTTATTCATTAAATCAATAGCTCTGTTTCAAGAAGATACCGACTATGGATAATAGCAGTCTTTTAACCATTTGTATTTCTGTCTCACATACATTATCTGACTACCATGGCCCGAAGAGAAAGCCGGAAAGGCATGGTAGTTCAGAAAGATTTTTGAAAACTCATTTGGCTTTATATTGACGTAGACACCTACTTTTTCATACGTTCAACTATGGCAAGGGCAGCCTTATAACTCAAAAAGTAAACGGTACCTTTTTCTTAAAAATAGCATGGTATAGAGTACACGTTGTGTACTACAAATTGCCAGAAAAGCTGAGGAAGGGTACCGTCAAACTTGTTAACTTTTTAATCCGGGAAGTTGCCAGAATAAACACTAATTTCATAGTAAAGGGAATCTTTCTTTTTGATAAAACGATAAAATTTGTTCTTTTCTCCATCTTTTTGTTTATATCTCTCTCTATAGTGTGCATAGAAAGAAAAAAAACATCAAGTCAAGTATAGTACAGAAAAGAATATATACATACATCGTCATTCTATTATACGATAGTTCTATATTCTTTTTCTTCGGCATATTGAATAATACTGTTCTCAATTTTGTTTCCAATCAAAGTACCGGTGAATTTATAGTACATAAATTCACCGATGCGACTTTTGACGGCTTCCCTAATAGAACAAACATTGAAGAAAAACAAAAATAATACAACAACTGTAAAAAGTGAAGAAAAAAATCGATGTTAACGTTGTTGTTGTTATGTTGGGAATGAATCGAGAAACTTCGCCTCACAATTGAATCAATTCTAGCAAAATTTGGCATTAATAACGTCCGAATCGGTGAATCGGCAAAATGCAAGACAATCGGAAGTACATCCTCACAAAAACTTCAATGATAAAGATGGTGGAAAAGTCAAGTAAATGCAATGATTGTGACAAACTATATATTGGACAAACAAGAAAAAGAGCTGATATTCAAATGGAACAACATAGTAAAAAAATCCATCAGGACGATTTATATGAAAAGCATCTCAGAATGCAGTCGAAAATAACCTCCCGGTTGCACCTTGGTGAACCGAACATCTTCGTATAAAAGACAGGAAAAGAAAAGACAAATAAAGGAAACTTTATTCACTTGGGAAAACGTACAATGACATCTCAGTAAAGACTGGCATTTTTTCTTTGATACAGGGACAGTAAAACAGATTCAGTGGCTGTCAGATTAACCTATCTTTATACAGCAGTAGCCGTTCTCTTTCCGGTGTAACCTACTGTTTATTTTTGATTGATGATTCGACGCGTTCGTAGCTAAAGCTCGCTCTTTAGAAAAATATTTTAGCTGGTATGTATTCCTATATTATAGTGGCTATTGAATTACGCTTTCTCATATAATTCCTGTGAAACAGAATTGAAATCAACAAAGGAGATTCCCACATCATCAATATCTAGCTACTTCTAAGTGGAGTTAGTGGAAAAAAATTATCTCTGAGTCTATGAAGTTTTAAACTGACTGTCATTACCTTAGCGTGCCGTAATCACAAACATTTTTCAGTTTTGAATCTAATTTTTCGAAGCATTTCTTATGATAGGTTCTTGAACACCATAAGCATCTTATTCCACATGAATATTCTGTATTATCTGTTGTAGTGGAATGTTTTAATGACGACCGCTCAATAGCTGTTGTTGTTGACATAGGACGCGTTAAAATGGTATTAAATTTACAGTTACATAGATTACAAGGTTTTGTTAACACATTCACATTACTCCAGTGATGTTGATCTAACTGTGACTCATCTATTTTGTCATCGACAAACGATAGTCGACACAATGGAACCATTTTATCATCAATATGATAAGAATGGAGGATTAATGAACATGAACCACATTGCACAAGAACAGTCCCATTGGGATTCAACCCTCTAGCGGTTAACGGCAAAATACAATTTGGATACTGACATGATGTATCATTCTCTATTGGAAACCAACAGTGAGAACTTGGTAGAGCATTGTTGCTCCAATCAACACCACTGACAAATGTTTGGTCATTTATGAGTGCTTGCTTGTTGTTTAATAACACATTGGATGGATCAGTAATACAATCAATTGGTGGTGAAGATGATGTATTACGGTGAACGATGTACTCATACGCGACATCATTATCTTAACAAAATAAAAAAGAAGGAAAATACTAGCGAAAATTCAGAATTACCAGGTAACTAAGTTAGTATGAAATAAATTATCGAGAGATAAATTTTTACCTTGTTCTAAGCTAACTGGTGGTAAGCCACAACAGTTGTTTGTAGCTTTATGCATACAACTCTTGTGAACATGTAGTTTGCAATCTACAAAGGAAAGAAACGAACCAATATGTCAAAGAACGTCTTCATATATTTGTTTGTTTGTCTACTTTGTTTTCAAGAAAAATAACTTCATAAATCTTTACATTGGTGATTCCTATTTAGTGTACAAAATATCATCTAACGGCAGAGTTTAAGTAATGATACCGAGTGCCTGCTATCAGCTCAGATTCGCTTCATTGAGAAAAGTTACTCATTTTTTTCAGACTACTGAAACTGATGTGATCGTACCTTTACATTGATATCCTTGTTTACTAAATCCTATCAATAACAGTTTGCATATTTGGCATCTAGTTGGAGTTCGATAACTATGGATGGAAAACGAGTGCTGCATTTTCCCTAATTTGATACCCGTTGCCACCTAAAGTTTAATGAAAAATAACAAGTCACACGAAAGCAGATAGTACCTTATCGTTCTTTTGAAATGCAGTGTTCGAAAGGTGGTGAGCCATCGCGGAACAATTATGAGGTAAATTTGTCACACAACGTTTGTGAAAATTTTCTCCACAACCTGAACATACAAATGCAGCTGCAATTTACTGTACATCTTCTGGGTAAAACTGGAGTAGACCAGAGGTGGAAGCATTGTTCATCATTTTGATCTACTCACAGTGCCGGGTTAAATACTGTTGGAGTACGTATTATGACACGATAGCTCTAAACATACCTCAAC